GGCAAACCCCAGGTGGGAGCCAGGTGGTGGGTGTGGGTGTGGGTGCTGGCACCTGCCCACATGGGGCACGGAGGGTGCCTCTGGGTAGTCCGCTTATTGCCCTCCCTGTACTGGGGAAGGACTGGGAGTCGTCGGCACCCCGCGGGGGTCAGACCTCTTCTGGCTGTGCGACCCTCAGCACAGGGCACAGTCTCCCACACTCTTCTGCACTCACTGTGGGGAGGATCCGTGTGCAGTTCTAGCCCACGCCTCCACTGGAGCCACCAAGTCGGACAACCATCGACCACTATTTCTCTGTCCTGGGAGTGGCTGGTTCACTCTGCTGCGAGGTGGCCCTGGAAGTCGCTAAGGCCGGGCAGGGGTGAGTGTGGAAACAGAACCAGAGAGGAACGCTAGGGTCCCTGACCGCCAAGAATCGCCTCCCCAGAGAATCCGGAGAACCAGTTATTACCTTTGTTTGTATCTGTTAAACTTGTATTTCAAAAAAAAAAAAATCACACATTTTAAAACAACAAACCCTACAAAACAAAAAAGAACCAATTCCAAAGATCGAATCTGAAAGGGATGCGTCCAACCGCACTGCCATGCAAAACGTGTTGTGACCTCCAAGCTCTCGGGAGTTTGAAAAGATTCAAAACGAAAGTCCACATAGACATCGAAGTTGTCCAAATGAGAAGAGTCACAGTGACCGACTCTTCCACGAAAAAACGACTTAGTTATCCTTAGGGGAGTGTGCGGACCCGGTGATTCTATAACTTGGAGGTTTTGTGCTTTGAAGGCCGGATGGGTGGGACCCGTCCGATCTAGTAAAACGCAGGGGGCAGGCTGTAGCCCACCCGGAGGGTTCAGGCTGTCTCTGCCCAGCGCTGAGCATCTGAGGCCGAAGCTGGCCCCCCAGCAAAAGGCCACCGCCACTGCCACGATGACCAATCCGCCTGGAGTGGAGGGGCAGGCTTAGAGAAAGAAAATGCTAGAGAATATGCCCCATTTTGGGTTCTCCGGCGTTCCTGGGGGAAAAAACGGCCAGGAGCACTCTGGTAGTGCCAGAAGTGTGCGGTTCAGAGCTGGATGTAAACCCAGGTAGGGGCTTGGAACCCACCTAGTCAGGTGGCTGTTTGCTGACAGGACCCAGAAGAGAGGAAAGCATTCTACGAAGCCTCCCTTCCAGCCACCCGCGGCTCCAAATTCATTTTGTTAAGATGTAAACTGCTTACAAGTGGAAGAGGAGACAAAAAGAAACCGTCAGGGTCCAGGGAGGGCTGTAGAGGAACCCCACTTAGAATTCCCCAGACAGTAGTCGCTGATCAGGCTTGAGCTCCATCTGCACGCAGACTCACGGGTCTCTCCCCGCTCAGAGCAGCTTCACAATTCGGTCTCTCCTCAAGGCGCTTGGAAACACTGCAGCTGGAGGGAAGTGGGGTTGCAACCTGCACAGGGTGCTCTGTGGTTCAGCTATGCCTTGGGGTGATTCTTCTCATCTACCTGCCTGAGCTAACTGGAGCCGAGGGGTCCTCCCGGCTCCGGCGGAGCGGTTCACCACTCAAGGATCGCCCCCCCCGCTCCCGCGCACTGGGGAGCTGGCGGCGAGGACCCCCTGCAGCCCAAAATCCCCCGCTGTCGGGCCTCCGGGGAGGGAGGCTGGTCCCGGAGCTGAAGTCACCTTTTCCACTGTGCGCGCCCCTCGGCGAGCGGACAGTTTCCGGGATTTGGGCAGGCGGCAGCCGGAGGCCCTGTGGGTCTCCGCAATTGGGGCTCCGTGGCTGCATCCCTGCTGGGGACTCGCCTTTTTCGGTATCCCGAACGCATAAGAGAGAACCCCTGTCCTTGTTAACCCCTTTCTGGCTTGCCAATACCGTAATTCCTGGACAAAGGAACCCCCACCGCTATTTGTTTGTATTTTTTCGCCTAAAAGGGGTTTATTTGTACATTTGCGTTAGGGTCGTCTGAGAGGTGGGGAGAATGTGGATCTCGGAGAATGAGCCAGGCCTGATCGTCAAGAAGTGCTGTTGGGGGTCGGAGGATGAGGGGGAGTTGGGTGTGGCGTGGCTCTCAGCCCTTGGTGCCAGGCAAAGCCCCTAGCCCTTGGGGCCTCATTGCCCGGGAGGCAGCTCACAGCAGGCATTCGACCTGGGCCACAGGAAATAGTCCTGGCCAGTATCCAAGGAGCTGCAGAGCTAGGGGGTTGGCACCTGTGGAATGGAGTGGGGATGGGGCTGCACATGTCTTTAGACTCCCCACATCTAGAGTTGAGGCCTCCATTCTGAAAATGAGCCCCCCTCTCCTCAACCTGATCTCTAGTGGCTTACCAGCAGCAAAATGGATTTGATGAGTGTGGAGCAACAACATGAGTGGTTGTGGTATCCTCAGATCTCAAATGCCAGGACCCATCTTGAGTAAGTCAGACCTTCTGGCTGAAATTGCATGGGGACACTGTTCAAATAAGGGTGTTTTCCAGGCTAGCTGGGGCTACAGAGAGACTCTATTTCAAAACTTGAAATAAAAAGAGGAGACAGGATGGGGGTGGGGGCTGGTTAGGCCTAACACCCCTCCCCCCCTAGAAACCACCCGAGGCTATACTCTTCTCAAGCACAAGAGGAAGACATGGGATGGGATGGGTGGAAGTAAGGTAAGAACAGAGGCCATAGAAAGTCATTCCTACTCACAGGGGTGCTAGGCCAATCCTTGGCCTCAGTTGTCCTAGAAAGAAAGTGGTTGGACTCCTCATCCAGGGAAGGGTCCTCTACTCATAAAGAGAGGACCCATCTGGGCTTCCTGAGTCCCCAGGAAGCACTGGCTTTCTTTTTTGTCCAAAGAGACGTGGGGTGGCTACTCTCTGTTTCTTTTTTAAATTGTTTTTTATTTATTTATTTAGCCTTTTTGAGACAGGCCTCCCTATAGCCCCAGATGATCTGAAATTCAGTATGTAGACCAGACTGGCCTTGAATTCACAGAGATCACTTGCCTCTGCCTCCCAAGTGCTGAGATTAAAGGCATGTACCACCACACCTGGCTGCCTCTCCACATCTAAGAGGCCTGCTCAGTGTGGACTACAATAACGGGCCCCATGTCATTCTTTCTAAAAGAGCCATTTGCCACCCAACCCTGGGAGTCTGAAGCAACCAAAGGCCACCAAGGCCAAATTCCTTCAGTCCTAATGATCTCAAAGTTCAGAAAAATCACCAAAACAACTGGGTAGCAGTGGCAATGGGCTTTAGGGTCTGGGTCTTAACAGAGCTTCTGGAAACACATTCTTTGTCCTTACCCCAGCCCTTATGAACAAAGAATCCTGGCATCTCTTAGAGTCTCAGACGCCATAGGCCCAGGGTACAGTTTCAGAGGCCCCTCTCAGCAGCTGGAACTGGAGAAATGATACCAACTTGGAGAAGAGTGGGGCTGTGATCAACCCTGTTTCTTATAGGTAAGGACTTACGCTCCATAGAGCGCTCACATGGAAAGTAGGAGTGGCCTAGGACAGTCGTCCAGGAGGTGCTGACTGTCAATGTTGGACAAGGTGGAGACAGGACCCAAGACTCCAGAGCTAGGCGGGCAGGGCAACAGCTCCTCTTCCAATCTCTGGGGGATATGGCCACCTTTCTTGCTATCCTGAGCAGCCCCTGCCAGGCACTGTGGGTACAGAAACCCCTCACCTTCAGCGCCCCCAGTCTTCCTGAAGGCAAGTGCCAGTTTCTCCTCCAGAAGGAAGACCCAGGCCCAGAAAGGAGCAGTGTCAAGCCCAAAGAGGTAAAGGCGGCAGAGAGTTTAGCTTCAGGATGATTTCACCCCAGGGTTTGTGATCCATCACCTAAGGAAGAAGAAAAAGTTCTAAAGGCTCTATCTCAGTCCTTTGGAAGATTTGGGAGCTTAGAGATGGAGTCAGGCCCCCAGACTCTCAAAGCCCCCCATGGTGGGTTGCCTGTCCCCGAATTCACCCAGGAAGTTTTTCTTTTTCTTTTTTTAATGCTCCAAAGCTGAGAAGGGGAGAAGTTTCATCCTGTTCTTGCTCCAGATGGATGGACATAACTCAGATCACAGTGTCTGGAGGTTGCCAAGGAAAATGTGTCCAGGTATCACTTAGACTCGCAATTCAAGCAAATCCTGGCTGAGGGAAACCTTTTCCTCTCAGACCAACTTCAAGAAAAATGAGGCAGGAATGGTAAATTGAGACGGAAGTGGAATTGGAGGAGTCGTGCACAGGTGTGGTTCCCACTCTGCGAGCTACATCCCAGTGCACTGCTGCATCTCAATGAGACAAGCAGCCTAGCGCCCTGCCGGGAGCCAGCTTAGGGCCACCTCTTTCCCAGCTGAGCTGCCGGGCTTTTGCCCCTCCTCCTCCAGACTGTCCCCTTCCCGATTTGCTGGCCTTGCTAGCTGTCCCCCTCTTTATTGTCTCCTCCCTCTGCTCTGCTTGCCCTGTGCCCTCCCGCACGTCAGGGCCCTCAGGCTTTCCCGCCTCGCTGGGTCTCTGCGCACGTCTATGCAGCGTCCTGGGGTTTCCAATTTTGCGTGGTCCTCGCGGTCTGGATCAGGACCCTCTCTCACCTCTGTCTCTCTCTGTCTCTCTCTGTCTCTCTGTCTCTCTCTCTCTCTCGATCCCTCCGTCTCCGATCTCTGCAGGATCGCGTTCCCCGAGCTCTCCTCCGGGGCGTGCGCTCCCCACTTTCTCCCTTGGTCTCGGCACGTTAGCCCCTCTCCCCACAGTTCTCTCCCTCTTTCCTTCCAGTCAGCCTCCCTTCCACCCCGGCGGTCCCTCCCTCCCGCTGGGCCTGGGGGTGGGGGCGGCGGCACGGGGCGGGGCGGGACGGGCGG